GGTATGAATGAACTGACATGTAAGCATCACAAAGGCAGGGTCCTGGGCCTCTGTGGCAGTGCAAGGGGTTAAAGTGCAGCACTATGAAGCTGTCCACAGCCACTGCAGCATGAGTTCAATCCCCAGCCAGGATGCTGACCCACATGGCGTGGCAGACCTCTTCTGACCCCCCCGCTGCTCCCCTCGGCAGTGTACTTTGCTGATCTTCCTGTTCTACTCCCCACTCTGTCTCTGGTGAATCCTCTCATTTTCCACATCTCTGGCCTGTACCCCACTTCTAGTATGCATGAATAACTAATTTTTTTTTAAAAAGAATAAGAAGGCAGGGTCATGGCCAGGTTCTGTCCCCTGACTGTGCCCTGCTTCTCTGCTCTGCTTCTACAAACAATACCCCAGACCAACCTTAGCACCTAAAGGACAGGGCTCAGGGCTTGGGAGACTTCTCATGGCAGCAGTCAAGTGCTCAGATGGGGGTGCCTGCCTCACTCATGCCACAAGAGCTCGACAACCTGGGGCAAATTACTTAGCTTCTCTGTGAAATGGACGTAATAACAGAGCCCGCCTCAAAGCTCTGCAATGAGGATTAAGTGAGGGAGACCATGGATCTGCCTCTAGGTTTACTTTAGGGCTAAACTAGCATAATGCTCTCATACACTAGATGGCCATTAAAATTTGCAGCCAGCAAAACGTTCTAGCACTGGAGTGGTTCCGCCATGCCTCTCACTTCTGTCCTAAGCATTTTGTCTTTTATTTACAGGTAGGTAAGTCACTGCCTTAACCTGAGTTATTTTAGGCAGTACATCTATTAGCTCAGGTTCAAAACATCTTAACCCTCAGATTTTTCTCTAATTATTTTAAAACAGACTATCCACTGACAGCAGAGTGAGCAGATCATTCCCAGCCTTCTCCTTCACTGGGAGAAGGATCAAGAAGCCCCTAAATGCTAAGCCTTGATAATTCTCTAGTTATCTTCAGTGAAGTATAAACAGGGTGCAGAATTGTTCAGAGAGTTGTCATTAGTAACTGAGAAGATACACAGGAACACACACACACATCCATGAACATCTAGCACATTTAAGAGTCCGCATAAAGCCTCTTATGTTACAGAACACACCCTCACTGATGGGATTTATCTGAGTACAGTAGATGCATTGCCACAAATGAACAATTGCTCCAGAGTCAGGTAGATGGCACAAGGTGATGCACACTGATGACACAATGAATAAATCAAGAGTGGAAAAGACCAGAGGAAGAGCTGGCATTGTGGCGAGTATGTGCAGGGCTTCATTGGAAATCTTAATAAAACTGTTTAGAGGGAAAGAGAGGGATCATTTGTTTAATTTTTTTGAGGAAAAAATATTGCATGTGCCGAATTTCAAAAGCAGCATTCATTTTTATACACACAGATTAGATTTAGCTAAAATTAGCTCCAATGCCTATTTTTTAAGGGCTCAAAAGAATAAAGGTTTCAACCAGATTTCATTGAGCTGTAGTTCAGCACTGAGTTTCCAAGGCACCTGAGCTTCTAGGGGAGGTCGCTTCCCCACCACCCCCCAACATCACGGACCCACAAGCAGCATCATCCCCACTTCCAGCCCTTCGTCCCAGGTCTGAAAGGGGAAACATACACAGGCTGTGTCACACTGATATTCCAGCTCCACCCCGCTACCTCTTACCTTCTCTTAACATATTTACACCAGCTAATGCCATCCCTGAAATAATCCCCCATCCTATTTGTCACATTTTCTGCCAGGGCCAAAAAGCCGAAGCCAAATTTCAAAGATCGCTTTTGTAGCAAAGACGCCAAAGGTACCTGCAGACCAGACCACTCAGCCACTTTAACCCCCAAGTCCTCTCCTGTCTACTGGACACCTGCAGCTCAGAGCTGTGATGCAGCCAGGGCCTCCCGGGTTACACAGCACGCACTTGCTTGTTGCCTCCCAGCCACAGTCTCCCTCCTCCTCGTTCCATCTCTTCCCACAGACATGCTAACCAGCCTTCACTGCTCAACTCAAATGGTCCCTCCTCCTCAAAGTCTTTCCTCACCATCCTACTCACCATCATTCTTCTGAATTCCTTCAGTGTCAGAAGTGAGCCCAGAAAGTCAACCTATCCCATTGTTCTTTGTTTTATGTATTGGAGAGCATTTCTTCCTTCCCCTACATGACCATGGAGAACATAACTCCTTCTGGTCGCTCTTACTCACTTTCATTCTCACAGAACCATATAGTAGTTTGAAAAATGCACAGTGAATCGATCAATCAATCATTTCTTTACATAAACGATGTCTGAGTTCAAGTCAGGTTCTTAACGTTGCTAGAGCTGTGTCATATTTATAAATTAGCAAGAACCAGAAATAATTGTCATCAGGTTTTAATTTTGAAAAAAAAAAACACATTAATGAACATAGACTATAACGTGAATGATACTATTTCCCAGTCCATATTTAGTCATCAACTTTGAGGGCTGTAATGAGGCCATTATTTATGCAAAATGTTTAGATAATGCTTATAAGCTTCCTTTAAATGCAATCATTGAAAATGTCAGCTGCTTAGAATTCAAGGTGACTCTGCACAACTACGTCAGTAACACAATATGAGTATTCATAAGCCGTGTCTAATATACTATAACACCCTGGGTCTCCTCTCAATAAGCTGCACATATTGACCAAGAGATAAGACTTTCACTGCTTGTTTGTTCACAGCAAAATTCTTGAGCTATTTCTCTCTCTCTTTTTTTTTTTAAAGATTTATTTATTTGTTCATACAGAACTGGGTACAGGCCAGAGGCTCAGGGGCGGCGAGAGGCTTCACCAGAGACAGAGTGGGGAGCAGAACAGCCAGATCGACGAAGTACACTGCTGAGGGGAGGAGCAGGCAGGTCAGGAGAGGTCTGCCACGCCATGTGGTCACCTCCGGGGAAGGCGGAACTCATGCAGAAGTGGCTTTAGCTTCTCAGTGCTGTGCTTTAACCCGCTGCGCCTCGAGGAGGGCCGCTATTTCTCTTTTAACAAATGACTCTCTTTAAACACCACAGGTTACAAACTTTCGCATATATATTAATCACACAGACAAATTACTTCTCCAAAAACTTCAATGTATGGATTTTCTACCTAGCATATATACAACATAAAACAGGTAACTCTCTGATGAGGGAAGGATGCAAATAAACATCTCAACCCCCTCCCATTCACCTGACACCTGCAGATCTAAAGAAGTCTCTTTAGCATGGAAACCTGGGGTTACTCCATTTCCTTTTAACGAACAGCCCCAATGAAACATCAAGTACTCAGCTCCAGGTTTCACAAGGAAATGTGTCTGATAACATCCTGTGTCCCTTCCCAGTCCCTAAAGGACTTTTTGACCTCTATTTATGGGGCCACAGTTCTTAACGCACTCAGGTTAGTGTGCTTGTTTTAACGCAGTTGAGGCATGCCACTCATTACTGTACCTTGCAATGATATAAAAATAATTTCTATACATCCTCTCATGGTAAGCAAAGTGGACTAACATGAAGCTCAGAAAGATAAATAAAAGGCTCATTTGCTTTGCAGTGTACAAATGTCTACAGTGTTGGTCCAAAGACCAAGGTACAGATATATTGACTTGTTCCTCGTCATCATGTATAGTCCAGGATCAACCATCTCCAAACAAGAACATTGCAACCCCCTGTTGGGAGAGAACTTACAAGATCACCATGGCAACCTATGCCCCTGGATCGCAAACTAAACCCAAAACAGGCACTATTCTACCCAGGGCACATAATTCATGCCATCACATTGTAAGTTATCACCATCTTATACATGAAGAAACAGAGGCACCACAAGGTTATGGCACCGCTCCAGGTCACAGTGGCAGATTTTAAATGCAGACAAGCTGGTTCTAGGATCCTGTTCTTATCTCCGATGCCAAGACATTTCTATGTAACTTAAAAACTGGACCTTAGGTATACAAAAGGGAACTCTTACAAAAGTATGGTGGAAACCTTTCTAAAACAAACATTGGTAAAGTAAGTAAATATTTCGGTAAAGCAAATCTCTGCCTCCTAACAAATAGGCTGAAAATCCAAATTTGACCTGTGAAGTTTGGTAAAAGAAGACTGTGATTACAGGTAAGGAGACACAATATACCATGGAAAGAGCTGGTCAGTGACCACCCAATCACATAGTTCCCAAACCTGTAGTGTGTCCATATGAGTCCAGAGACCCAAAAAGTGCACTTCAACTTGGCAAGTCTCCAGTGGAGCTCCAAATTCTACTTTTTTAGGCTCTCCGGGTAAGCCCAGCCAGCCTTAAGAAACTCGGAACTAGTCCATTTCCACAGCTTCATCAAGGTGGTCTGCTCCCAAGGCAACAGAGAGGGGAATCTATTTCTCAGTCTCCCTTGGTCGCCTACACCAGTCCCAGCTGCCACCTAACTTCTATCTCTCCTGATTTCATTTGGCAGTATCCTCCTGTCCTCACTTCAATAGAGAACCGTGAGTCATCAATCCTACACACACCCTGTGTCTGCATGCCTCTCCAGGCCAGAAAAATTTACTCTACGTGAGTAAATCAGGAAGTTGTAAAATCCAAACAGACACAAAGAAAGTCAAGATTCAACAAATACTGATTGCCATGGAACAAACAGGCTTCTGTCTCTCAACTCGTGAATCAGATTACAACAAAAATCAAGAGTGAGAAAACTGTGACTTAACTGTCTGGACACAGAATACCCTCATCACAAGGTGACAAGGAAATCCCCTGCACACCATCCCCATCATCACAAAGTAATATGCGCCCTCTTCCTTCAGCAAATAAATGAAACCAAAAGAGAGATGCTTTAATCCAAACTTAAAAAAAAAAAATTCTCCAGACAATTTCTCAATTTCCTATACAGCATAGTTTGCAACAATTATAGTCAAGAGCCAACCAAGTGCTAAATAAAGCAGGCTAGGCGGCAATTTTTCCAGGGCAGACTTTCTGAAGAACGTCTTTCTCGAGAACGTCGCCAAACTCTCACCTGGTAGGTGATGCACTTCCCTGGAGTGGCCGTGGAGGAGAACACTGGTGTACAAGGATGACAGTCAAATCTGCAGCTCGAATGGACCACGCGGGTTACTTGCTGAATGATGCTCCTGCAACAGTCCAGCCAGTGCAGGAGAGGAAATCCAAAAGGAAAAACAGAACATGTTGCTTTAAGACATCATCCCACCTTAAAATGTCTACATATGAAATCTGAACTGAAAGACCATCAAATTTTGCCTTTTGGTTTATGAAAATTACATAGGTGACCAGTCCGCCCCAAAGGCAGTCTGATTCTGTTCAACAGGGCTGGGAGGGAGGCCAACATAGACCAAGGTCATCCCTTCAATCAAATTAAGAGTTTGGTCTCCCCATTTTAGCCAGCTACCATCATTCTTTTATCTAGAGATTCTAACCAACCATCTGATAAATACATGCTGCTAATCACAGGAATGTCAAGTGAAAATGGGCATGGATTGAATAGTCATTGTGCCGGTCTAATGTTAACGATTAGACTTATTATTGAACATATTACTATCAACATGCAACTGAAAAACAATTGTGAAAGGGCAGCCCTGTTAGCAAACCAAACTATTGGCACAGAAAAAAAAGGGATAAAATGCAGGGAAAAAAAATGTTACAGTATGCACATAGTCACTAGATGTTTCGCCAGACTTTAAAATTATTTTGTACTACTGATATATGTCCATTTCATTTTCAAATTTCACAAGGCCTTGTACTTGGTAAAGTAAAAATTACCCACTATATGATGAATGAGTGAATGTGAATGGATGAATGAAAGAAGAAAAGTGAATGAATCTTTCATATACCTTTCCATCAGGGAGCTTGGTGCTTGTAGTTTTGTGAGGTAAAGACCTATGCATAGAAATGGAAGAAGTTGAGGACTTGATCTGCCATCCCTTTTTTGCCCTAGCTATTAAAATTATATTTTCAAATACTGGGTAATTCTTTATTGTCCCTGTTCAATATAAAGACTCAGTAGCATAACTGTCATATAATAATCCTCAAACTAGTATCTGCTGAAAGGATTTTTCAGTCTTTGATTCCTGGAGCTGATCTGCATATTTGTTTAGGCTGATTTTAAATTAGCTTGTGTTTCCTAAGCCCACGCCAGGTAACAGTAGGAAGGAGAAGGCCTGAGATTACATTGGGTGTCAGAAAGAAACTATTCTGGAGGTATGAATATGATCTCCAATGTGAATAATCTGTAAACAGGTATGTGAGCCAATTATCCTTGGGTACATAGCAACACATCTCAGTAGTCATGATTATTTTCATCCATACACACTCACTATTTTTAAGAGCACAGCCCAGCTGGAAAGGAAAATAATTTCGATTGCTTTCCAACACTTTTCAAAGTAATAAATAGTTGCCAAAGTATTCTTACTTCTAACTAATCCATTCACCAAACATTTATGATAGGTCTATTGCATGTCTAGGGCTGATAAGCACAAGAAATTTTTTCGTCCTTGCTTTCCCCACATGTAATCTGTGAGTGCAGAAGAAAAAAAGATAAGCAGTTCTAAAATATAATGTCTTTGAAGGCCTTCGAAGATACTACCCTTTGACTAAGAAGCAGGCAGATTTACAAATAAAAATAGCAGACAAGTTAATCAAGCTCTAGTTGAATAGAAGTAAAATTCAGTTTATTCTTACACAGAACTTGTTTGAAGGGTTGGGGATAGCTTTTATGTAGTAACATCTTGAGTGAAACATTGAAATACTTGATAATGATTTCCACAAGTCAAAGGCATCAAGGATTTGCATACTTTCTGAGCTCACAGTGGGCTGTTTCTGGTATACTGAGGTGTGCACACAATCCTAGTTACACATCACCTGGCAGATAAGGCTTTATAGAGTCCAAATTACAGGCTCCTCCTGTTCTGCTGAAGTGCAAGAACAGTCAAACATGATGCAAAAGCTGTAAAATATTAATTTACTCTCACATTTGTATGCCTACTTATTTCAAAAGTATTTACATACTAGTCAGGGTAATTAGGAGAGTTAACATAACTTTGCTGTATTCCATCAGAGGGAAACACAAGAACAAAAAAACAAGGTAGAATGAAAACTGTCCCAAAAACATACAAACAATATACAAACAAAATAACCTACAGAATGTTTTATAGAAGCTGTACACTAAAAATAGAATCTTTAATATTTTAAAAGCACGGCAGGGCAACTAAACCCAATATCATTAATAGTGGAAGGTTACCAGAAAGAGACCTAAATAATATTGATGGGATGGCTAGTTAGTAAAGACCAAGGGGTAATATAAATACTTTCAGAAGAGGTCAAAGCTAAGGGGGAAATAATAGAAAATGTATCCAACAGTAACAGAAAAATATGTTTCCAATGAACACTAGAAATACAAATGCTTCTAGGTTAGTAACTAGGACAAATATCAGTGAAACTTCTACTAAGTAACTCCTTCAAAAATGTGGCATGTTAACACATAATTGGGGATAGAGAAGAGAAGGAGGGAAAAAGCTCTTAGTTTGACTCAAAATTCCCTAATTAGGGAAATTTTTGCCCCCTGTGACTAATTCTGACTACATGACAATAAATTTTCCGAGAAGTAGTGTTCAGGTGGGATACAGTTCGTGTTTTTCTATTACAACTATCACTGCATTCTCACTACTCCACAAATGGGATACGTTGGAAGGTGCAGGAAAATCAATGACATATTTCTACTGATATCAAATATGTCAAAGAAAATATAATGCTTGTTGTTTTTCTGTCTGTAACAATTCTAAACCCGCTCTTGTACATTTAGCACAAGGTGTTGTATAAAACTTAAACTTCTATGCCTTCTTTTATATGTATATTTATAATACATAATATAAAAATTCAGATTTGTAACGACATATATTACTGATACACATAAAAATGCAAACTGGGAATCAGTAAAAGATTTGAAAAGTTGTTCCCACAAATAGATTATTTACCTAAATCTTTTCATACCCCTGTGATTTTAAACATACACACACACACACACACACACACACACACACACGCACATTTAAAACCTCAACCCAACTATAATTTAAAAATATTCTCTAAAACTAGCACTTGGTATATTCATTATTATATCAACTCTGAAGGATATTTTGCATGACTATCCTATTAAACTGTGAATTAAATAAAACTAACATTTGAACAGCATAATTGATGACTACAAAATTCACTTATAAAACAGGGGTGCAGAAAACATGAATATTATGCCCTAGAACAGAGATCCTCTCGCTACTGGGATTTTTAAGATTTTTTATCCTTGTTGCCTTTAAGACAATAAGGGGAGCCTGCTTCTGATAACCTTCAAAGTATGACCAGAACTATATATGTTCTTTGAAGTAGTCATTTATCTAAACATACAGCACATAGCCAAATACTTCACAGAAGCCAACCATTCAAACTAGTGAATTACTTTGAAAACAGAAGGCGGTGGAAATCAAATTATCTCTCCCTTCTAAAAATGATATTCTGTCTTTCTGCATTGTGTCACTTTACATATGCAAGTATTTAAGCTTTGCAGAAAATTATGTGTCATGTTCAGACAACTATCATTTCAACAACTAACATTCACTTGTACTTTTTACCAAATTTCATGGATTGGGTAAAATATGTGCATTGACTAACATCTAATAGGAAACATGATGAGACTGTGTTATAATGTGCTAGTCATAAGAAACTATCATTCAAGGTAAGTACAAAAGTAAAATCCACTTGACATTTCAGAGTAAAAAAAAAAATTAAGACACTTTAGACAAAAGGAATGTGAGTCCTTGAACTCTGTAATGACAACAAAAGCAGGAGGCACAGAAATGTTTACTAATATTTTAATAACCTCTCACAGCTGGCCTTTCCCAGTATTCCAAGACAACCAGGTTAGGGATGCAAAATGTAAAGTCATCTGCAGACATCTGACAAATAATCTGATGGCTACAGAGTGGTGCTTATATCTTTCTCGAGAGTAGAAATAATTTAGAGGACTTGCAATCTAGTTGTAATATTCCTGATACAGTATCACTCCTGTTTATCAAACCCTCTTAAAACGAAATCCAGAAAGGGAAATACTATATTCCAAAGTTCCTAATCAAGCACATTTTTCATACTTCTTTTAGCATGAATTTATGCACCCCAAAATCATGTTCATATTTATGAGTCAGGAGAGCAATTTTCTATATGTTGCAAATCATAATTCAGGATCTCCAAAGTGTTGTGTAAAACTCAAACCTCGGTGGCTTCCTTTAGGTATTTACCTGCTAGAAATAACAGTTCGTTTTAACCACAGCAATGCTTGATCTGAGCAGGCCACAGTGAAGTTGCCCACTGCATAAACTCACCAAAGCGTAAAAACTCATAAACCCTTGTGAGCAGAGTTAACTAGAGCTCTCAATCCCTGCCCCAGGCGAAGAAAGGATTTACCAATTTAGAGCTGGGGCTATAAACTGAAAACAAACTGGCAAAAGTCACAACCAAAGCAAGACATTATTCTTCTCAGTTATTTTTTCTTTCAAATTTCAGGGTTATTCATTATTCCTGTCATCTGGATTGCCAGAGCAAAGACTTTTCAGCAAACGAAGCTAATTTTCTTTCCTTTATTTTCTTTTGCAATAGTAGTATTATTTGTTTAGCAGGTTTCATAAAGTGATGCGCTAATGCAAAGAGTAATGCTGCTCTCTAAATTATTAAATGCTTGTTAAATTAGAGCTCCCAAAATAGAGTACAAGTGGTCTCTTGTGCAAAAGCACCACCCATCACCCGTCGACCCAGACAGGCCTATACCAGCTATCATTTAAACTACTACGAAGGACACAGGATCAAGGCCAAGTGATCCACATCAAGAGTGACTACATTCTGAATGTCTGCCTGTTGTCACTACCATTTTTTCTTCTTATGATGAGCATAAAGTTTTGAAATATGAGAATGGAGATTATCTTTCCCAAATAAGTTACTTCCTCCAAGTTCAGGATTCCCAGACATTCCCAAATGAGGAATGTCAAATATCAAGGCAACTGCAGGCATCTGAAATATAATTTG